CACCTTCGTCAATTGAATCGAGAATGTTCTTTGCTTCAGAGGCTAAGGTCCATCGGCAGAGATAACAAATGATTACAAACAAATAAAAGCAAATCCTTTGAAATTTTAACATTCTCAAATTGCATTTTACAATTTCCAATCAGATTGTTTAGGAATTCTTGCATCATTTTCATCTAAGTTTCCCCTGTAGCAACAACACATAATATGGGAAAGTGCAACATCTTTCCTGTTACATCTGTCTGAAAGATTTCAGGATTTCTCTGAAAGGCACACACTTTTTCAAATAGATCCCCAACACTGCTTGCATGGCCTGGGAACTGCAAGTTGAGGGAATTCAAGTGACCAGTAATATTGCACAGAAAAGCTACCTGTGACATAGAGGGGACATCATTCATAAATTCCAGGAACTCACAAACCTTTTTGGTCATGTGGTTTGCAAAAAATTCTATATTTTTTTTTGAAGCACACAAAACCTCTCTAACACACGCTCCCTACTTAACCAGCAAACGTTGTTGTGCTGCAACAGGTTACTGTATTCGGCTGAAACGTCTTGTAAAAGAGCTTTAAGAAGACCATGTTGTAAGATAGAAGTTGAGCGTATGTAGTTCACTAATCTCATTACAAGACCCACTGTTTTTTTTCAAGTTCCCAGACAACTTACTGCACAGGATACTGGTGAATGATGCAGTGAAGTGTATTTAATGAAGGGTGTATCACAGCCAAATATGAAGCAAAGACCTTCTCTTTCCCTGCCATGGAGGGACCGCCATATGTAACAAGCAAGTTTACTTTTGCAGATCTAAACCATTTTTTTCAAAAAAGCCTTTTACCTTTTCAAAAATGATCTCTCCTCTGGTGTAGGTTTCTAATGGTATTAAGCACAAAAAATTTTCCTTCAAAATGTCACCATCATAAAATGTAACAAAATAGCTGGGCAGTGTTGTAACAAGAGATTTTGCTTTTAGCTGTTTTGAAAAACCTTGCAGCACCTTGATAAACACTGGCATTGAAAAACTGAGAAAGGGTTTAAATATCGCAAACATTTGATATAATTAAGGTGGTGACAGTATCAGGATACTTTGATTTGCGTAAAACAGTAATAAGTTCTATGATTTAGGCTTTAAATAAGTAGAAATTAGTGATAGTTTAAAATTAGAGAATCCAACATGGTGGATCAAAATGGCAAGACTGGGATGACATAGTTTAAATTTAGAGAGGGGAAAATTCCAGAAGGTTCCAGCAACTCATAGGGAGGAACTTTGCTATCTAAAAAATAGAATGGGGAGGAGCTCTACCCAAGATGGTGTCAGGGGGAGGAGCTGTATCTAAAAATAGGTATGACATAATGGGGAGGAGCTAGAAAAGCTAGAAGCTGATTGACTGAGACGAGCTGACCTTGAGAGAGCAACCAGTATATAAGGCCAACAGCTAGCAGGCTGAAGGTGTAGGGTTTGAGGGGGTTTGTGAAGATCAGACGCCTCAGGAAGAAGCAGCAGCAGCAACAGATTTCTAAGTCTCCATGGCAACAGCTTCCATAGCAACTCAAACAGCTACCTGCAGGAGCAATAGCAGTAGAACCTTCTAGAGCAGTGGTTCTCAAAGCCGGTTCGCTGCTTGTTCAGGGAAAGCCCCTGGAGCACCGGACCAGTTTGTTTACCTGCCGCATCCGCAGGTTCGGCCGATTGCAGCTCCCACTGGCCGCGATTTGCTGCTCCAGGTCAATGGGGGCTGCGGGAGCGGCGCGGGCAAAGGGACGTACTGGCCGCCCTTCCCGCAGCCCCCATTGGCCTGTAGCGACGAACCGTGGCCAGTGGGAGCCACGATCGGCCGAATCTGCGGACGCGGCAGGTAACCAAACCTGTCCAGCGCACCAGGGGCTTTCCCTGCACAAGTGGCGGACCAGCTTTGAGAACCACTGCTCTAGAGGGCAGCAGCTTATAAGGCAGCTATGACGCAGCTAACCACCTCTACTGCAGCAGCTCTGGCAGATAACCGCTGTGACCTGTCAGCAACAACCATCTTCTCTAGGTGCAGACATCTTAATCTTTTATATTGACAGAGCGGAAGGACCTAAGATGAGTCAGAAAGATTTTGGTGTGAGAGTGTAAGTCTAATTTCATAAATTATTTTCTTTAAGGGTGCCTGGGTCTGTTGGTTAATAAAGTTGGAAACCTGCTTCTGAATGGTTTCAGAGTAACAGCCGTGTTAGTCTGTATCCGCAAAAAGAAAAGGAGGACTTGTGGCACCTTAGAGACTAAGGGTATGTCTACACTACGGAATAAGGTTGAATTTATAGAAGTCGGTTTTTTAGAAATCGGTTTTATATATTCGAGTGTGTGTGTCCCCACAGAAAATGCTCTAAGTGCATTAAGTGCATTAACTCGGCGGAGTGCTTCCACAGTACCGAGGCTAGAGTCGACTTCCGGAGCGTTGCACTGTGGATAGCTATCCCACAGTTGCCGCAGTCTCCGCTGCCCATTGGAATTCTGGGTTGAGATCCCAATGCCTGATGGGGCTAAAACATTGTCATGGGTGGTTCTGGGTACATATCGTCAGGCCCCCGTTCCCTCCCTCCCTCCGTGAAAGCAAGGGCAGACAATCGTTTCACGCCTTTTTTCCTGAGTTACCTGTGCAGACTCCATACCACGGCAAGCATGGAGCCCACTCAGGTAACCGTCACCCTATGTCTCCTGGGTGCTGGCAGACGCGGTACGGCTTTGCTACACAGTAGCAGCAACCCCTTGCCTTGTGGCAGCAGACGGTACAGTACGACTGGTAGCCGTCATAGTCATGTCCGAGGTGCTCCTGGCCACATCGGCTGGGAGCGCCTGGACAGACATGGGCGCAGGGACTTAATTTAGAGTGACTTGACCAGGTCATTCTCTTTAGTCCTGCAGTCAGTCCTATTGAACCGTCTTATGGTGAGCAGGCAGGCGATACGGATTGCTAGCAGTCGTACTGTATCATCTTCTGCCAGGCAGGCAAGAGATGAGGATTGCTAGCAGTCGTATTGTACCATCTTCTGCCAGGCAGGCAAGAGATGAGGATGGCTAGCAGTCATACTGTACCATCTTCTGCCGAGCAGCCATGAGATGTGGATGGCATGCAGTCCTTCTGCACCGTCTGCTGCCAGCCAAAGATGTAAAAGATAGATGGAGTGGATCAAAACAAGAAATAGACCAGATTTGTTTTGTACTCATTTGCTTCCCCCCCTCCCCTGTCTAGGGGACTCATTCCTCTCGGTCACACTGCAGTCACTCACAGAGAAGGTGCAGCGAGGTAAATCTAGCCATGTATCAATCAGAGGCCAGGCTAACCTCCTTGTTCCAATAAGAACAATAACTTAGGTGCACCATTTCTTATTGGAACCCTCCGTGAAGTCCTGCCTGAAATACTCCTTGATGTAAAGACACCCCCTTTGTTGATTTTAGCTCCCTGAAACCAACCCTGTAAGCCGTGTCGTCAGTCGCCCCTCCCTCTGTCAGAGCAATGGCAGACAATCGTTCCGCGCCTTTTTTCTGTGCGGACGCCATACCAAGGCAAGCATGGAGGCCGCTCAGCTCACTTTGGCAATTAGGAGCACATTAAACACCACACGCATTATCCAGCAGTATATGCAGCACCGGAACCTGGCAAAGCAATACCGGGCGAGGAGGCAACGTCAGCGCGGTCACGTGAGTGATCAGGACATGGACACAGATTTCTCTGAAAGCATGGGCCCTGCCAATGCATGCATCACGGTGCTAATGGGGCAGGTTCATGCTGTGGAACGCCGATTGTGGGCTCGGGAAACAAGCACAGACTGGTGGGACCACATAGCGTTGCAGGTCTGGGACGATTCCCAGTGGCTGTGAAACTTTCACATGTGTAAGGGCACTTTCATGGAACTTTGTGACTTGCTTTCCCCTGCCCTGAGGCGCATGAATACCAAGATGAGAGCAGCCCTCACAGTTGAGAAGCGAGTGGCGATAGCCCTGTGGAAGCTTGCAACACCAGACAGCTACCGGTCAGTTGGGAATCAATTTGGAGTGGGCAAATCTACTGTGGGGGCTGCTGTGATGCAAGTAGCCCACGCAATCAAAGATCTGCTGATATCAAGGGTAGTGACCCTGAGAAATGTGCAGGTCATAGTGGATGGCTTTGCTGCAATGGGATTCCCTAACTGTGGTGGGGCCATAGACGGAACCCATATCCCTATCTTGGCACCGGAGCACCAAGCCGCCGAGTACATAAACCGCAAGGGGTACTTTTCGATAGTGCTGCAAGCTCTGGTGGATCACAAGGGACGTTTCACCAACATCAACGTGGGATGGCCGGGAAAGGTGCATGACGCTCGCATCTTCAGGAACATTGGTCTGTTTCAAAAGCTGCAGGAAGGGACTTTATTCCCAGACCAGAAAATAACTGTTGGGGATGTTGAAATGCCTATATGTATCCTTGGGGATCCAGCCTACCCCTTAATGCCATGGCTCATGAAGCCGTACACAGGCAGCCTGGACAGTAGTCAGGAGCTCTTCAACTACAGGCTGAGCAAGTGCAGAAAATGGTGGTAGAATGTGCATTTGGATGTTTAAAGGCGCGCTGGCGCAGTTTACTGACTCGCTTAGACCTCAGCGAAACCAATATTCCCACTGTTATTACTGCTTGCTGTGTGCTCCACAATATCTGTGAGAGTAAGGGGGAGACATTTATGGCGGGGTGGGAGGTTGAGGCAAATCGTCTGGCTGCTGGTTACGCGCAGCCAGACACCAGGGCGGTTAGAAGAGCACAGGAGGGCGCGGTACGCATCAGAGAAGCTTTGAAAACCAGTTTCATGACTGGCCAGGCTATGGTGTGAAAGTTCTGTTTGTTTCTCCTTGATGAAACCCCCCGCCCCTTGGTTCACTCTACTTCCCTGTAAGCTAACCACCCGCCCCTCCTCCCTTCAATCACCGCTTGCAGAGGCAATAAAGTCATTGTTGCTTCACATTCATGCATTCTTTATTCATTCATCACACAAATAGGGGGATGACTACCAAGGTAGCCCAGGAGGGGTGGTGGAGGAGGGAAGGAAAATGCCACACAGCACTTTAAGCACAGCACTTTAAAAGTTTACAACTTTAAAATTTATTGAATGACAGCCTTCTTTTTTGGGGGCAATCCTCTGTGGTGGAGTGGCTGGTTGGCCGGAGGCCCCCCCACCGCGTTCTTGGGCGTCTGGGTGGGGAGGCTATGGAACTTGGGGAGGAGGGCGGTTGGTTACAGAGGGGCTGCAGTGGCAGTCTGTGCTCCAGCTGCCTTTGCTGCAGCTCAACCATACACTGGAGCATACTGGTTTGGTCCTCCAGCAGCCTCAGCATTGAATCCTGCCTCCTCTCATCAAGCTGCCGCCACATTTGAGCTTCAGCCCTCTCTTCAGCCCGCCACTTACTCTCTTCAGCCTGCCACCTCTCCTCCCGGTCATTTTGTGCTTTCCTGCACTCTGAAATTATTTGCCTCCACGCATTCGTCTGTGCTCTGTCAGTGTGGGAGGACAGCATGAGCTCGGAGAACATTTCATCGCGAGTGCGTTTTTTTTCTTTCTAAGCTTCACTAGCCTCTGGGAAGGAGAAGATCCTGTGATCATTGAAACACATGCAGCTGGTGGAGAAAAAAAAAGGGACAGCGGTATTTAAAAATACACATTTTATAAAACAGTGGCTACACTCTTTCAGGGTAATCCTTGCTGTTAACATTACATACATAGCACATGTGCTTTCGTTACAAGGTCGCATTTTGCCTCCCCCCACCGCGTGGCTACCCCCTCAACCTTCCCCCCTCCCTGTGGCTAACAGCAGGGAACATTTCTGTTTAGCCACAGGCAAACAGCCCAGCAGGAATGGGCTCCTCTGAGTGTCCCCTGAAGAAAAGCACTCTATTTCAACCAGGTGACCATGAATTATATCTCGCTCTCCTGAGGATAACACAGAGAGATAAAGAACGGATGTTGTTTGAATGCCAGCAAACATACACTGCAATGCTTTGTTCTACAATGATTCCCGAGTACGTGTTACTGGCCTGGAGTGGTAAAGTGTCCTACCATGAAGGACGCAATAAGGCTGCCCTCCCCAGAAACCTTTTGCAAAGGCTTTAGGACTACATCTAGGAGAACCGCAAATGCCAGGGCAAAGTAATCCTTTCACATGCTTGCTTTTAAACCATGTATACTATTTTTAAAGGTACACTCACCAGAGGTCCCTTCTCCGCCTGCTGGGTCCAGGAGGCAGCCTTGGGTGGGTTCGGGGGGTACTGGCTCCAGGTCCAGGGTGAGAAACAGTTCCTGGCTGTCGGGAAAACCGGTTTCTCCGCTTGTTTGCTGTGAGCTATCTTCTTCGTCCCCAAAACCTGCTTCCATATTGCCTCCATCTCCATTGAAGGAGTCAAACAACATGGCTGGGGTAGTGGTGGCTGAACCCCCTAAAATGGCATGCAGCTCATCATAGAAGCGGCATGTTTGGGGCTCTGACCCGGAGCGGCCGTTCGCCTCTCTGGTTTTCTGATAGGCTTGCCTCAGCTCCTTCAGTTTCACGCGGCACTGCTTCGGGTCCCTGTTATGGCCTCTGTCCTTCATGCCCTGGGAGATTTTGACAAAGGTTTTGGCATTTCGAAAACTGGAACGGAGTTCTGATAGCACGGATTCCTCTCCCCAAACAGCGATCAGATCCCGTACCTCCCGTTCGGTCCATGCTGGAGCTCTTTTGCGATTCTGGGACTCCATCATGGTCACCTCTGCTGATGAGCTCTGCATGGTCACCTGCAGCTTGCCACGCTGGCCAAACAGGAAATGAGATTCAAAAGTTTGCGGTTCTTTTCCTGTCTACCTGGCCAGTGCATCTGAGTTGAGAGTGCTGTCCAGAGTGGTCACAATGGAGCACTCTGGGATAGCTCCCGGAGGCCAATACCATTGAATTGTGTCCACAGTACCCCAAATTCGAGCCGGCAAGGTCGATTTAAGCGCTAATCCACTTGTCAGAGGTGGAGTAAGGAAATCGATTTTAAGAGCCCTTTAAGTCGAAATAAAGGGCTTCATTGTGTGGACGGGTGCAGGTTTACATCGATTTAACGCTGCTAAATTTGACCTAAAGTCCTAGTGTAGACCAGGGCTAACAAATTTATTTGAGCATAAGCTTTTATGACCTACAGCTCACTTCATCAGATGCATTCAGTGGAAAATACAGTGCTTCTGAATGAGATCTCCCCTGCCCATCCTGCGGCACTTATCCTGTGAGCACTGGCTGTTAAATATTAAATGTTTAGTGTTACATGTTAAGGTTAGGGTTAAGTAAATGTTTGTTTTAATCTGTGACATGATATGTGTATGTAGAGGCCGTGTATACTACATTGTATTAAGTATGGTGTTAGACTGTAACACTAAGACTAAAGCCTTTGTGTAGCCAGGATCTTTATATGCTTATTACATTGGAACTATTGTATTCTCTGTATGTGTTAGATATTTTATACAGTCTGTGTCTTTTATTTTGTTGCATCGCTTTAGTGTACAATTCTTAAATGTAATTCTATTGTATTTTTTGAATCCTATGTATTTTTTCCTCGTTTTATTAAACTCACTGTAATTTTTTTTATTTCTGTTAAATAAATAATTCTTTGATTTTCAAAGAATTTCTGCTTGCATGTGTCAATCCTTGAGCGGAAGGCTGTATCCGTGTCCTTTCAAGGGTTAGCAAGACGAGCTTGCTCTGGGCATAGTTGCCGACTTCTGCTGGCGCCAGAGGGTGCTCCACCCACCTTTCCCTCGGCCCTGCCCTGACTCTGCTCCTGCTCCACCCTCATTCCAACCCCTTCCCCAAAGTCCCTGCCCCAACTCCGCCCCTTCCCTGCCCCTATTCCAACCCCTTCCCCAAAGCCCCACCCCAGCCCCACCTCTTCCCCGCCTCCTCCCCGAGCGCACTCTGTTCCCACTCCTCCCCCCCCCCGGGAGCTTGTTACACCGCGAAACAGCTGTTTTGCGGCAGCAAGTGCTGGGAGGTAGGCGGAGAAGCAGGCACACGGCGCGCTTAGGGGAAGAGGCGGAGGTGAGGTGGGGCAGGGAGGGGAGCTTGGCTGCTGGTGGATGCAGAGCACCCACCAATTTTTCCCCGTGCTTGCTCCAGTCGGCGCCTATGGCTCTGGGGAGCCCTCTGCGGGCTGGAGACAAGCCCCCTGGTAACACCCTGGCAATTTCTTTAGGGCAGGACACAATCTTGTTACCTTCTTGTTAAATTAGGAGTGCTATTGTAGGCTAATTTAATTGGCACCTAAAAATAAGGTAACCGTGTCACTTAAATTGCTTGAGTTATCCACAGCAAGAGACAAATATTTTGCATTTTTTAGATCAGAAAGCAGTTCTGGCAAAAAAATCCTTGTAAATAACCTCCAATCTTTGCACTGCAGTGGAATCAGACAGTGGAACTTGCTTCACACGGTTCATGTCATCTTTGTTTTTATCGCCAGCAAAAAGCTCCTCCACCATTTCCAACGTGCACTCCTTCACAAGCTCAGCATCCAGGAAAGGCTATTTCTTTTTAGCGAGTAACCACATTCTCTGCAGAACAGCAGCTATTGCTTTTTCCTATATAGTAGCTGATGTGAGAATGACATTTGAAATGTGATATGAATGTTTCAGATTTTCAGTTTTGTCACATCTTGCAACACTGCCAGAAGGATAGGCTACACTGAAGTTTCTGTGCTTTGATTCAAAGTGGTGCCTCATGTTGATAACTTTACAACATGATAACAGTGGTATGGCATATTAAACACAAAGGTTTTGCATTTAAATGAGATGGCATAATGAGGTATCCAATTTGGGTTAAAAGCTCAGTTTTCGCTGTCAACTTTGCGACATTTACTCCCAATTGCATTCATTTTTTGCATCATTTCCATCACTTCATTTCCATCACTAAGGAAAAAATGAGATCCAGGGCTGGCCTTACGGAAAATTGCACCCTGGAAGAACTTGTATTTTGCTGCCCTTTCTTTGAGTTCAGCTCCAGGAGGCATGGTTTGGGGCTGACAGCCGCCAGTCTAATTTAATAATAAACATTTTTAAGGTCCGTTGGTTAGCCACACAGGAAGCTTTGGCTGGCCACATTTGGTCTTGGGCCACCTATTGAATATAACTTCTCTAAGAGCTCCCCCTTTTATACATTTTTACTGACCTTAAGTGACTGCTGAGGAATTTCTTTCTTTACACCAGTTGGAACCAACCTTGGTAACTGGAGCCTCCTCTTCAAGGACTTTTTCTCCATCTTATCCATTACTTTCCAAATCCAGTTTTTCCAATTATGCCACATTATTTCAAGGCCTTCCCACAACTGCTAACAGGACCACACAAACTGCAAAGCATATATTTTCTTTAGCTAAGATAATATAACTTTTTGTATACTTATCTAATCTTACACTGTGTAAGTGACAGCCTATTTCACTTGGGACACAGACTAACATATATGCATATAGCCAGCAAATGGAACGCACAAAAGCCCAGCTTTGTTGGATCCATGGTCATGAGCACCTGTCACTCAATTCATGTATTCAATGCATATTTTCCATTTTATGTACTCTCTGTGCAACAAAAGGAATCAGGAATCATTAGTAAATGTCTATATACCATGCTTTCATTTGCTATTATCAAACTTCTGATTAATAGCTGACTGCTTTAGTGACACTGTTTTGCCATTAATCCATGGCCCTTGTGCTAGTATACAGGAGGAGCCCCTTACCCCTTGAACATCCTGCATAAGGGCCACTTACAGTTGTAGTTCCTAGACTTGGGAGAGCACAGAAATTGCTCAAGCCATACACCCCAGAGGTGTGGGGGCAGGAAGGAACAGACTTGTCTCACTAAAAAAAAGCAGGCTTGCAAATGCCCCTGTGCTCTGAGCTATTCAGGGAGGTATTTTGCCTCCTTCACATACAATCCTTTGGTAAAATCACCTGGGGCAATACAGTTTCACGGAGGCTTCCACAGTGGGCCCCTGGCTTCATAACCTCATCCAGTTGAAACACTTTAAAGAGAAAACCCAGTATCTATTTCCATGACCTCCTGTAGAAACAGGGCATGAAAAGGACCACAGTATGAACGCATCCTCTGCTCTAGGGTATCTTAGAGGTAGCCACAGCCATTTCCCCTATACATAGCAAAATTCTCACCGTTCTACAGTGACAAAAACATGCTGTCCAGCATCTCTGCCAGTGCTGCACTGACAGTAAATTATAATAATGATGATAATGATAATATAATAGCCACCTAAACAGCTTACAGATCAGCACAGAACCTAACGTCAAATCCGACAATATTTGACTGAATGACCCGCAGCATAAAAAGCTGTAGCACTTCCCTTGGTAGACACAGCAAAAATAACTGGTTACGAAACATTGCAAAATTCTCCTTGTTCTCTTGCCATCTCCTTAACTGGTTCCACTTATAAGTTAAATGAAGATTAATTAACTTTCTCTGGAGGTTTCCCCTGGCACCTTTTAAAATCCTAATCTACACAAAGGAAGATTTGACTGATGTTTGCAGGCATATAAGGCTGCGAACAACAGCAGTAAGAATTGAAGAGAGACTTACAGTTCATTTGATTCAAGTATGAGCACTCAAACATCAGCCTGTAAGAGGAGCTATTGCCCCATCTTATGGAGATGAAGAAGAAAACACTTCAGATTTCAGAATCTCCTGCCACCTAACTGACTGCCTGGTGTTATCTATTTCAGGTATTTCTAGGTGTCCCAACACCAGACCATAGTATGCAGGCATCACCCTGGACTAAAAGACTTCACTTCCAGCCAAATCAGTATAGCAATTGCATGGCAGGTCATGGTCAACAGCTTATTTATTACTTGATAGCACACAAAGTTTTTGCTTCACAGCAGATAAAGAAAGAATGCCACAAGTACTCCACACTCACCACTGTTCCTCAGACGTTCTTGTCAACTGCTGGAAATGGCCCACCTTGATTATCGCTACAAAAGGTTCCCCTTCCCCCCGCTCACCTGCTGGTAATAGCTCACCTTAAGTGATCACTCTCGTTACAGTGTGTATGGTAACACCCATTTTCATGTTCTCTATGTATATAAATCTCCCCACTGTATTTTCCACTGAATGCATCCGATGAAGTGAGCTGTAGCTCACGAAAGCTTATGCTCAAATAAATTTGTTAGTCTCTAAGGTGCCACAAGTACTCCTTTTCTTTTTGCGAATACAGACTAACATGGCTGCTACTCTGAAAAGAAAGAGATGGTTCCTGCCCATTGTAATAACTTACAGTATAAACTCCTACAGCTAATATTTATTTTTAGGATACAAAACTGAGAAGATTGTATGTTTACTGATGGGAGGTAGGAGAGAATGGACTGAGGATTTCAGTTTGCACTGGGCAGTTTCTCAATAATTAACAAGTTACATAGGTAAAGACAGCATATCTTAATAAAATAATAAATTATCATTTATATAGGGCCCAATCTACCAGTCTTACTCATAGTGAGTAATATCTTTGGTACTTGTTCTGTGAGTATCAACTGCTCTTGGAGAAGGCACTACTCATTGTGAGTAAGGCTGATAGAACTGGGCTATATGTCTTCTTAAAGTATTTTAGCTGCTTTATAGTATGTACAAATTAAGACCTAAATTTTCACAAGGGCAAAGCTGCATCCACCGTCCGTCACATACCCAGTGGACAGAATATGAGGGTGTGGTGTATGCTCCTGAATTCTCAAAAGGAAGAAAGGGAAACCAAAACCTTTGAAGAAGTGGAGTTGTTCCCCCTGGGAAAAATGGCCACATACCGTATTTGTTCTTCGTACATAGAGATGGGGCCAAAATAAATCCACAGATCCAATCAATCCCACCTTTTAGAGAAGTTCAGATGCAGAGCCAAATTTAATGGCTGGCCCTTATCACTACAACATAATAAACCAACGCCTTGTAACTGAATACCCCAGAACTCTGGGTCTGTTCTAGTTTGATCTGAATCCAAATATGAACTTTATAGCTTAGCTCCAACTCTGCTTGGCAAAGGATTCATTTTAATCTTATCCAGGTTCTGCACTCTTACTAAACCCTGATGGCTCCCACAGAATTATTATGATGTGTGTAACAAGAATGATCTGCATTGTGGTATGATGAGGCTTTGCACCGAATTTGCATTATATATTACCAGTGGAGCTGGGCAGGAAAGGCTTTTCCCATCCCATAAGAATTTGAGGTTTTGAAAAAATTTCAGATCCCAAATCAGAATGAAAAGTCAAAATCTCACATTTTTTTCACACACCAATAATCTGAATTTTTTTGTACTAAGTCAGTTAAAACGTTTCATTGTGATCATTTCAAATCATTGTGTTTCCATTTCAACCCTTAAATATATTTTACTTTTTTAGTGTAAATTAAAATTTCTGAACAAAAAGTCATTTCAAACCAAAAATGCATTTTTCCATTTCAAAACTGTCAAAACAGGATGTTTTGAAAATTTCAAAACTCTTTACACACTCCTTTCCCCGAAATCTGGACACTTGTTGAAACTGACCCTTTCCTGCAAATAGTTTTGGTTTTGACAAGTCAGCATTTTCCTACAGAAAACCATGTAATCGGAAAATTCCCAGCCAGCTTTAATTGGCACCATGCACACCAATGATCCCTTCTGAGGTCAACACAACCTTGGGATAATTGAATGTACCAACTGGCAATACCTGCTGTATTGTCTCAGTACGTTGTGCAATACCCCAGCAATCAGAAAAGGAGCTTATCATCTGCTTCACAAATGGCCCCCTTAAACATGCTGCTGAGCTGAGGGGAGATCTTCCTGATGTTCTAAGAGGCAGGGCCGGCTCCAGGCACCAGCTTTCCAAGCAGGTGCTTGGGGCGGCATTCAGAATGGGGTGGCCGTCCGTGTCCCGCAGCGGCAATTTGGCGGCAGCTCCGCCGTTCTTCCTGGTGTGGCAGCAATTTGGTGGCAGCTCTGCCACTGTTGTGGCGGCAGCAATTCAGCGGCGACTGCTTGGGGCGGCAAAATTGGTAGAGCCTGCTAAGAGGGGACATTATGGCATGCAGGTTAGGCATTACACTAACAGCTGGGAAACAGCAGTTGGTTTTACATGAGCGGAAGGATAATGCAAAGGAACAGGGTCAGTAGTGTATGGCCTGTTTGGAATCAGGATATATTCGGTGGAAAACAAAGGAAAGAAAGTAAATTGAAAATATTTTTTTTTTGGCCCACAATGAACTCTATAGCTTTCCAAAATGACCAGGACATACGTAGAATAAAATATTTATTACTACACGTCAGCAGAATAGCTAAAAGTATGCCACGCACACTTTTAGTGAACTCTGGGAATTACCACCCAAACCACAAATAAAGTTCCTCTGTGGGTGTGTGGTTTAATTTACGTTTCCAAGTCTGACTGGGCTTGCTACCTGTAAGAAGGGCTTGGTGATTTTTGTCATCTTGTCTCAAGGGTTCAGAAGGGTGAAATGGCCCCTTTTCTCCTAGTTCTTTGTTAGGGTCCTCTATTACTTTCTTGCCAGTGAGCTGGAGTACAATAGGCAGAAGCAGGAAGCCAGTGGGTCAGGTCTGGAAAATACAAAATCACCAAAGAAACATGGATGAAACTAGGACACAGCAAAGTAAATCAAGATCAGTCCTTAGCCTCTGTGAAAAATTAACTTTAGCCTGTCAATAATTAATTCTTGATATAGTATAGAAATACTAGTAGGAGAAAACCATAAAAAAAAAATATAGATCCTGTTGCTTTATGGACAGACCTTGTCTCAGCCTAACCCCAGGCAGGTGAGACTGACATGCAAACCAGGATCACTAGATCATCTTAACCCTTTATGCTGACTATGGTGCATGCAATATCAAAAGGGCTTTTGAAATGCTAGTTTCTGACAAAGGAAATTGGGAAAAAATTCTAGTTAGTTGAAGGGCATGGGGTAAAGGGATTGTGCTACAAGATATTAACCATAATATAGTTTCTCTTACCCTCCAGTGGTAAGGTACCCGATAAACATTTAATTGAAATGCTGATGTAACTACAACCAGCATGTTTTATAGAGTAATGAATTCTGTCACAACCTGAACATCAAAAATGGCCACAGGCTATAAAGGACTAGTGTCTGAAGGAGGAGGAGGGATGGAAGACAGACACTAGAAGCTGCTTCTCTGAGATGTTGGCTGGCCAACGGGATCAAAGAGGGAAAGATGACAACCAAATAGAAGGAAGAGATTGTCTTCCTGACATCCACCCACGCCAAGGGGCAGAGAAGAAGTAAGATACTGTTTCTTTTGTAATGCATCCAAGATACGCCTATCTGGCCTAACTCTTTCCAAGCAGGATTAGGTAAGTTATCCAGCCATTTCCCTTTGGCTAAATCTGATTTTCTGTCTACATTCATAGTATATTTTATTTTGATTAGACAATTTGAATTTTAAATTGTTTGGGAATTTCATTCAGACTGTTTTGGAACATGCTCTATTTGGAATGTTTGGTCAAAGTGGAATGGACTAAGGAGCCTCTCCCACAAGGGATGTCACTTGCAGGGCTGAGGTCTGACAAACACAGAAGAAATACTTGTGTGATCATAGCTGCCTCGAAATGCTTCCCCTTCTTTCATATTTTTCCTTTACCTATATTTTCTTATGGGTTAGGAGAAAGACCATCTAAAGACATTTGGGGCCCCAGTACCCCATGTTTGCTGGGATCCAATCCTCTCCCATTTCGCTTTATTTATACAAATGTTACAGATGTTCTGGTGGGACCCCTGAATTTGTGGCACTGGTACAATTGTCCCCCCTTTTGTTCCCCTCTTGTCAGACTATTAAGGTACCGGAGAAACTGAGGCAAAATGAGATATGTCAGTCAGCTTTCACAATATAATATAAAACCTGCAGAGTATATATGAATCCTAAATTAGAACTGAAAGTCAGAAAGCTTTAATTTGTGCTAAAAATGTTATTTATACTGAAAATTATTTAAGACAAATGAATTACAGAAAAATAATACAGCAGAGGGTAGATTTTCATAATTAAACTAAAAACTGAAAATGAAGCTGAAAGTTCCATTCACTTCCAGCAGAGTGAAGCATTACACTATAAAAATAGCAAGTAGTTCTGCACAGTTATCATTATACAGTAGATGTTATTTCTAAATGAAGCTTACAAAATATACCATTTCATCAAATACAAGGCATTTTACTCCCCGGGGTTTCTTTGGGGTTTTCTTTCTTTTCTTTTTTTTCCTTTTCTTTTCTTTTCGTATGCAGATACTATTTTGCATTCAAATATATATCTCACTGAAAATGTTTTGGAGAATATTTTTTCCTCAAAACTGCTTTAATTAAAAAATTTTATAGCTAATTTGTAAATATTAAACTACAAATATGTGCCTATTTATAAGAGATAGCAGGCAACTGAGGACACAAGCTGCAGGTTTGTGGCCAAGGCCCTAATTCCAAAAACACTTATGCACATAAAAATGTTATATACATGAGCCGTGCCAATGTGTGCATCAGTGTTTATAGAATTTATATATATATTTTATACCCTGACACCCACACGTAGGGTTTCATATCAAAGTTAGATACTATAAAGATGTGCTTAGAGATGACAGAGCACCAAAATCATATAATTTTGGAAGGCAACATGCTGTATCCAAACAAGGCCCCAATCCTACAACTTGTTTTGCATGGTGGATACCTACACACACACACACACACACACACACACCAATAGAGTCCCACTAACTTCCATGCAGCTATATTCAGGAGCAGGGCTACAGGCATGCACACCTCATTGCAGTATTGGGGCCATAGTAGCTACTGTTTTATAACTTTTATATTATAGGCGGGGATGGTAGCACTGCCTATTAAGATTGCCTGACACTTTCCTTTATAAAACCCTGTTTTCAGGTGCTTATAACTTTACCAGACTTTAACCGTTGAAGCTGAAAATTTTCATGCCAGGTGTCTGTCTCAGGCTGTTTTATTTATTTGAACATTTCTGATCAAACAGTTCAGCCATTTCTGAGAATGAGGCTAGGGGAAAATACGTTGTTTTGCCCCAATAAAAAAACTCTTGCAATCTTTTCTCTGAGACAAGGGATTTGAAATTTGGCATGGTGCTGTCCTGTGTGTCAACATTGTCCTGTTTGTTCCTGTGGAAAATCCACCCAAAGGTATAAACCTTTGAAAAATCTCAGTGTGCACATGCTCAGTACAGACTTCTTGGAGTTTAACAGCTAAATCTCCAAAGATTCCGTCTTCCCCGCAGGTCCTAGTGCTTATCAGACTGCAAAGCACCATCCCCATAGAGCAAGTATGCAAGCTCCTTCTAGCACAGGGCTACAGAGTGGAAGTCACATAATTGCTGCTCCAAGTAGGGTGGGGCTGGGCACTGGAACTGAAAGCAAGGAGCCTACCTCCCCCCTGCAAAAAATCCCACAACTTTCTGGCACCCAGGTAGTGCCGAAGAAGCCATTTGATTCAAATGCAGAGGGGACAAAAGCTGGACCAAGGGAGGGAAAGGAGTAGATTAAAACAAGTCTGGAGAGACTAGGCCTTGAGGCAGGAGAGAAACTGGGACTGGCTGGGCAAGGAGAATGAAACTGGGCACTGGAGTGGAGGGAAGGGGAAAGGGGACTGGTTGAGTAGGGAGGTTGAGACTGGAAGGGTCTAGACTGGGACTGGGAGCTGGTGAGGGAAATTTGGGGGGTGGGCACAGGAAGCCAGTCAGCTCAGGTGGGAACATTTAAATTGGACAAGTAGCTGGAGGGAAGGGAATGTCTGGGACTGGCTGGACAAGGAGATTGGGACTAGAAACCAAAGTAAGAGGAACAAGCGCAGTGGGGAAGTGGAAACATCTGATGAGCTGGGATACAAGGGGAGAAGTGGGACTGGCTGTGCAAGGAGATTGTGAATGGACGTAGGGAGGAGGAGATTGGGACTTAGGCAGCAATCTTGGAGGGGAAGACTAGGATTGGCTGGGCAAGGAGACTGGAATTGGATGAAGAATCAGAGGTGATGAAGAGACAGGGCCAGGATGGAGCAGAAGGGGTCAAGCTTGTGGGGAATAGGCAGAAGTGTCAAGGGAACACTCTCCTCCAGAGTCTGGAATGGAATCTAAGATTCCTCAGTCTCACTCTTCCTGTGCTGTCAGCAAATCTGAGAAACCCACTAGCAAAGTATACGTCTTGTCCCCATCTAGTCCTGGTCCATATAGAGGATGACAATCTATCAGTTACTCCATTAGCTCAAGTGGCTGAGTCTGTGGGGTGGATATAGAGGTTCCAATCTGCTGCTGAACCATGGGGCTGTCAATATCATGCCTCATGATGGAATTTCTATTTTTTCAGTTTGCTCTTTTAAATACCTAGCAAATTACAACCTCTCTCCCCGCCAAAAAACTATGTTAAAAGAACATTACTAAGGTTGCAAAGTCAAGCACTCAAAAATTACAAAATGCCAGAATTAAGGTTGCCTGTGAAACCTTAATTTGGCCCCCTTGTGCATATTCATTATGATACAGCTTTTAATTACATGAACACATACTATTTTTCCTTGCCTTATTCAGTGCACAGAATGGACAGCGCTCGATTAACAAGCAGCTATCCAATATTTTGCCTTGGGAGAAGGGGTGGAGTGGGGGCAGGGCCTGGGGCTGAGTGGAGGGCTAGGTGGTCCCTGAAAAATTTTCAAACAAAATGGGGGTCTTTGGATTACTAAAGTTTGAGAACCTCTGTCATAGTCTATGGTTTAAACTGGTAGGACCATCTAAAACATGTGATGGCTGTGTTACGATCCCTCCAAGATGAGTGCACTAAGCACTGGGCTATAAGCTATACCAGGGATGCCCTCACTGTTGTGTTTGTGCAGGGTAGGTGTGCTTTGAGCATGCCTACTGGATCAGGCCCCACATCTAAATTTTGCATTTAGATGTCTAAAGTGGCAGTTAGGCATCTAAACCCCTTTGTAAAACCCATCTGTAAAATGGAGAGAGTATTACCCTGTAACAGGCAGCTTGGAGGGCCAGGCAGCCTAGTGGTTAGAGTGCATGGCTTTCAGCTCCCTGTTTGATTGAGGAGCCTCACAGTCTTTAAGGCCAGGGGGGTTAGGGGGACTTGGACCCTCCCTCTCCACCAGGTCCCAGCCTAGGGCCCTGGGTATATCAACACCTGAAGTGGGGGGCCTCCCAGCAGGGAGTCAAAATCCACTGCCCTGAGCTACTTCTACCTGTCTGTCCAGTTTGGGGCATAGCCAATTTGCTAGGTGGCTTGTTCCCATAGGGTCCTCTCTTGTGTCATGGGTGGCGCCTTGCCGCAGTCTCAGGCTCCTTTGGGCGGGGCAGCTGCAAGCTGGTGAAGTTACCTCAGGTGCTGGAGACTCCTAGGTCTCCTTCACAGTCTCCCTTGGCTGGGGAGACAGTGCTTACTCCCAGGTGGCTGCCTTGGCAGGCTATTGCTCTTTTCACTCAGGCAGGAGGCAACTAGCTCCTGCCTCTTTGCCAGTCAGCCCTGAACTGGGCCAGGATCCCTCCTTTTCTCCCCCCTCCAGGCCTGGCATTGGCTGCAGATATAA